ATTCAAAAAAAAAAAAAAAAAATACAACTGGAGTTTCTAATAAAATGTTTTTCAAATTAATTTAATAGTCCCTGGTTATAATAAAAGTTTTAACATATTATTATGGAACTATGATTTGAGAATCATATAATAGTGATTAATATTAATTTATTAGTATATTTTATTGTATATAAAAATTGCTCGGGTAGGTACTGTAAATATTTATATTTCTTTAAATACGACTACTTGGATTAAAATATTCTAAAATTTTGCATACCAAGTCCAAAACTCCAAAATATAGCTGAGTGAGATAGAAATCCGTTTCACTTACTGGAGATTGAAGGTAAGCTATTTTTATTTTACATATTTTGAAGATTATTGCATACCCTATTATTTAAATTTTTTTAGGCCATATTGTTAAGTTTATTTGTAAAATTATATTTTTATCTATTTTTGAGATCTTAGTAAAATAAAGTAATATAATATATATTTATATATTGTAATTATTAAAAACTATATAAAAAAAGAAAGATGACACGAGAATAAGTTCTAAGTTCTAATAACATAGTCTTTTTTTCATAATAATTTATTGGTGTGTAGGTATTATGGTATTTATTTGAATTTTAAATACTTATTTAATTTACTATAATTATATCTCGAAGTATATTATAGATGCAATATAATATATAATACTTGTATAATAACAATAAAAATATTTATTTTTGTTATTCGTTCTAAGTTTTAGTTTTTGTTAACAATAATATTTTATTTCATCTTATTTTTACTAGAAACCACTCTAAACGTTGAAAATTGAAGCATTTTTACAGTTTCAATAAAAATGATGAATGATAAAAAAATAAATACATATTGTAAAAAAATACATTCATCACTCTGCTCAGAATTTACAATTTGTAAGAAAACTTTAATTCAATTTCAAAAATTTTATAAATTTTTAACTTCAAATTAATTATTTTTATTTTTAATTTAAACTTATAATATAAATACGTTTTGCTTTGATAAAAAAACAGGTTTTTCAAAATTCTGTGTAAAAAAATTGTGGGAATTAAATTGATTGTTACTCGATTTCCAACATTTGCGAAAGGCCTTTATGGTATATATCTCCTAAAGAAAAAACATCGAATTAATTCATAAGGTAAGCATAATATTTATCAATTTTCTATGAAATATCTAACGGAGCATTGGAAGTTCTATATATTTATTTTGATAAAAAGTAAATATAAACTGGACAAAATTTTTTTTACGGCGTGTTGTGTTCAATAATAATAATAATTATAATTATTATTATAATTATACAATAATTTTAACTACTATTAATTTTTGACGATTTTATTATTATATGTTTAATGAATATATTGATAGAAACAATATAAACTGTTTATAATCTTTACGTTTAGTACATAGGTATAAATCTATAACACGAAACAGCAGATGGATGACTTAAAAGTTCGTTTTTTTTTTCTCGTAAAAAGTTTGGAAAAAATAAATAAAACGAGACAAAATAAAGAAAACCGTTTGTGCACTTTGATCACGTACCGTGTTTACAAATACACGTGGAACGTGTACCATATATATATATATATATATATATTATATACACAGTACTGTGGACTTTTGGTCATTATATATCTATACGAACAAACGGCGTGTAACGATGAAGAAATGGTTGTGTTAACGGGTGTGTGTGAGGGGAGGGGTCGATCGGATAATGGCGAAGGAAAGTTATAGGTATATACATTGGATATAAATGCGGCGGAAAAAATCGCCGGTGTCTTTTCTAATCCGATCGCACGTGACTTGTTTTACGGGCAATTTCATTGACGTCGTATCGCGTTCCCTGTAAATAGGTGACTTACGTGGTTGGTGTATGTTCTTCTAAATCACATACCTACCTACCTACTAGTTACAAAACACTCACACACATATACGAGAACCCTATACATGCATTATATAGGTAAGAATTTGAAGAGTTTACTCGGTTCAAAATTCGGGATGTTTCAAACGATTTACACACATTCCTACTTAAATGATAAGCAATTAGTCAAGACCGAGGAGTCTCGACACCAATACGTAATAGAGCCGCAGAGGTGATTGCATGGTTGCGACATGCTTTATGTTTAACAAGTTTTTAAATCTTTTACATTCAAATTAAACTTTTAAGTTTTAATCGATAGAGGCGCATAATAATATATTATCACCTTTATACACATATTATATATGATATATAAGTTTGCGTATCTATTGATTTTTAACTGCTACTAGTATTTAAATAAAATTTGATGAACAAAATAAGATTCCAGCAGTGCTTTACATAATTCATGTACCTATATATACCGAATACCCATGTTTTTACTGTTGTGAATATTACACTGTAATCGTTTCAATCTGCTCGATTGTTTTTCAATTAAAATTAAAGCACGCACGAAAGTCAAAAAAAAAATTAAATATGACAGGTAGAAAAAAATTAATTTATTAAGTTTGCTATTTAAATTTATAAATTACGTATACTTATAATAACGTAAGACTGCAACTATGAACATTTATCCGTTATATACCTGTTGGTTGTTACTTGTTACATATATATATATATATTTTAATATTTTTACATCGATTGTGTATGTTGATCGTGTATTAGTGTGTTACGATTATACCCAATATCCTAATGTATGATCCACGTAGCCACAAGTACTTACAACGACGATTGATGAATACGATATATTAAGTAATGAGCATATAGTCAATTTGACGTTTTTTTTATTGTAAATAACGGCACCATTAATTTTTCTTTTATTTATACGTATTTTTTATGCAACCACAAGCCCTGTTTGGAATTTATCCATCTTTCAAGATAATCGATTTAACAAGCGGGAAAACCGTGAATAATCATCAGACCCAATCTTGGATTTTAAACGCATACCTACCTTGCGCGATTCAAACGGCGCCATTGATTTTAGCGCCTCGAACATAATTGATCAAGCTCCAAAATCATCAATTCATAAATACCTCAATAAATGCAACCACAATCGTATAAGAATATTACTCGTTGTTATTAGTGCCCATTTTGGCGAGAAGAAATCATACGAGTACGCTTACAGCACATTTTTTCACGACGATGGAACGGCGCAGACAAACCAGCAATAAACCAACAATAGTGTTATACTGTACGTGGTATTCATTTACTTTTTTACAAAACTGTATACAAATTCAAACCCTCGTTCTGTTTTTCTTAACACATCAAGCATGAACATCGTTTTTAATCCCAACACCATAGCAGCGTGCTGGTACTTATGTCGACGATTTACACAAGACGAAAACTAAATCGATATACGTAATGTACAGATAAAGGTGTGGTTGAAGGTTGAAACCTTTAAACCGTTTATTTCATAGTGATAAAATAACAGAAGTATTAGTGCTGAAATGACATGGTATTATTTTATTTTATGAATGCACGATTATTAAAAAAAAAAAAAAATAATAATAATAATGAGTTAAATATTATACTGTTTATGACGTTGGTCGGACGCGTCTGCTAGTGCTATCTAGGCGGTTGTTCGAAATGTTTAAATGCGATCGAAGCGACAGCATTCAAAAAGATGGCGCATACGGTAGGTAAATGGACACTCCGATTATGAAATACTTGAACGATTATGTTATATATTTTTTTAAATATGTGATATACTTGATTTTGTTTGGCTAACGACTTTCGTTGCCTCATCGACTCGTCAGAAGACTATTTTTTGTCTATTATTTAAAATTTTTAATTCCGTTGATGTCCTGTTTTGTTTTTTTTTTTTGTTTTGAAATAAGCACACGAGTAGTATTAAATGTTTAAATCAATCAAGAGATCGAGCAATGTCAAGTATAAAATGTACAAATGTACAAGTGTAAATGTAAACACTGAACATTTTGACTATTGTAACACTTTTTTTAACAAGATAAGTTTATAGTGGAAATATAAAAAAAAAAAAATAATAATAATAAAATGGTCAAATCTCATTATAATTAAATTTAATTTCACATCGTTTCACTTAAAAATGCAGAAAATGATTTTAATCGGTGGGCGCAGTACTATAGAAATACTATTGAATTAATTAAAACGATTCTTTATGATTCATAGTATTTTAAAATTTAGGAGGAGAATATTACTATATTTTAATTTATTGCCATCAAAGCGCAATCACTATATTTTGTTCTTTTTATATAAATTATATTATATTTATATTGATTTATTCAATAAAACTGTCACTAATAATATTTCTTATATTTTATTATTTACAGCTATATTTTGTTTTGGAAAATAAATACTTAATTTACGTACGAGTATGTACTACTAATAATTATTTTGATTAATATCTCATATTGAACAGCTAGAGGCTTAGCGGTGACCGACTTCCGTTATTATTATTATTATTATTATTATTGTATATATTATATTATTTAGGTTTACATAAAAATATTTGATTTCCGTGAGAGAAAACAAAATGTATGCGTAAGTCACCTTAGAGATAGTAACCTAAATATTTTTATGAACGTTTGGAGTTATTATTTTGACGAATTTCTTCAAAATTACTAAAATTTGCGAATTAATTTGTGATGAAAATTCATGTTAAAGTTTTGAAAATTAAATATATAATTTATAATAGTTATTTAATTATAATTCGAAAATATTATTCGTTAGGTTATTCGAAATGTATATGTATTTTATCATATTATAACACCTTTACAAAAGTACACTTTTTCAAAATATTTTTATTAATTGTATGCAATTATCTAATATTATGCAACAAATCTATTCATACTGTTCTACAAGTATACAATAAGTCGGTATTTGTAACGCAAAATTTAAAAACAACAATAATAATAAGTATAATATATGATGTATCCGCGGAAACTAACATTATTTGTTGTTACGATTGTTATACAATACTCGTTTTTAGAATATTATTTTCTATTTTTGAATGACTGTCAATCGATTTGGTAGGTACGTTCCAGAGTTTATAAGAATGTTACACACATTTATCCTTATTTGTGGTTGTATGTGTATGCTAAACGGGAAATTGGATTGTTTTCCCATATCAAGACGTATGTACCTAGTTATATTATACTGTGATAGTAAATAATTTATAACCATTTGAGTTAACGAGTATCACGCAATGAAATTAAAAAAAGGAAATAAGCTCTCTTTTTCTGTCTTACTCACTCGTAACATGGCAAATTTGCGTTCAGTATACCTGTAGAAACAACCTTGTATTGCGTGCTTCAGTATTGAATTGAAGTGATGTATTGTTAAATGTTTAGTTGAGAACGTTATCCATGTATTTACGTTGGATTTTTTAATGATATTTCAATTTTAAAGTAACATAATATGACCGTTTTTAAATTGAAATTTATAACTAGCATAAAAATTGGAATATCGTAAAGAGATCAACGTTACACGATTACACCTAAATGATCTTATCTTTTATAATAGGTAAATTCACTTTAAATTCTAAATTCATCAATACAAGTTTGGTTTTAAAGAATGAAAATTTGCTGTTGTACAAGGTTTAGTGAGAGAAAACTAATAGTGCGTTGACATATATTTAAGTCCTTCTCAAACTTAAAACATTAATGGTTTAACCTTTGTAATATCATAATAATCGTGATTTAATCGTACAGTTTGCTATTTTCAGTGTCACCTGACCTAGATGACGTACGATCCGCGGCGCAATCAACTCCTTCATCCAACAGTCTATGGACGTTTCCCGTAACAGGACTGTATTCCTCACACAGACATGAATGGATCTTCTCCACTTCTCTACTGTTTTTAATACCGTCCAGCAATAACCAAATTTCATCGTCGAATGATCCTAACCAAGGTATAATTCCAACGGTTCGACCGTACGAGCGACGATCGCCTCCGTCGTTCGACACAAACGGTAAGATTTCGTTGTCTTCCGACAACGACAATGATAAAAACGGAATTTCATCATCCTACCTGCTATCGTCCTCATTTCCCAAAAGTCAAGTTATGACATCTCCATCTGAATTTCGACCGAATCTGTTGTTTGACAAAAAATCTAAAGTTTCTCAGCCGTCTTTGAAAAATTACGACGACATGAGCACTTCATCGTCGATCAATAACTGTTTAGAGATTTCGTCGCCATCGTCTGAGGACGAATTGAGGATCTCGACTACGTCATCTTATGCCATGCAATTGTCTAACTATCGCTTCTTAAAAAGCGACGAATTTCCGATGATACTGTTTGACGGTGACGGCGAGATGCATACAAACTACTACCCCCCAGCCGGACACAGCATCTATAAGAACAAACAAAACAAATAACCGATGAAACCGATCAGGGCCATAAATAATAATTACGATTTGATGTTATATAGTAAGTTTTAAGGCGCGTTCCATATATACTCATATAGGAAATCATCTCTAAAAACCAGACAGGTATAGCTATAATAAATAAAAGTTATCTAGGTAATGTAGTTTTTTAGTACTTGAAATCCGATTGACGTAGTCGTAAAAATGATTTGAAATACGGTTACCGATTGACCGTCAGTGTTTTCGTCTTTAGATCTTATAAGTCTTTAGGTTCATTTTGTTTTTTTGGAAGGTTAACATTGAATTGAGCCCTATAAATACTTTTGGGTTATCGGAGTTGAGTCCGACCAATATTGTTAAGTTATTTGAGTTGAGTCCCTTTCTTTGATTGTAATAAAAAGTATAAAGAGTCAATTAATTAAAAAATATTAAAAATAATTTTAAATAAAGGTACTTTTTACCTAGATAATATTTTTTTATCGATAGTTATAAAAAAAACACTAAAAAAAATTGAAAATTTGTCATACCTATAAATATTTCAAAAACAGTTGACATTTTCTCATAATATAGGTATTGAAAATAATAATTCGGAAATTTCAAGTACATAATTATCTTATTATTCTCGGAAATATAATAAAATATTAAAAATTGTTTGAAGAGAAATAATTATTTTATGGGTGAATATCTAAACATACACTCCATTTTTCACTCATAACAATTTAATAATTTAGTAAGTATTAACTAATTGTGTGTCACCGGTTATATAGGTAGTTATAACATTTTATCTATGTGAACTCGTTAAAAAATATTAGGTAATAAGCTGGACTCAGTTCAAACACATAAAATTAGTATGGACTCAATTCAATATCACCATTTTAAAATGCTCCCGTACGGAGTTTTAGTGTATAGACAATGTAGATTGTAGATAGTTTAAAAATTGTGGGTGCAGTGTCTGTATGTGAAACCCGTTGGAGACGGTTGGCCGAATGAAACAAATCGGACGATCTCAAGAAAAAGAAAAATGTTTTTTAATAAAAATTGTTATTATTTTTATTTTATTTATTTGTCATGTTGTTATTTAATGTATGCACTTAATAAAATAATACAACGTTACTTATGATATTCATAACTTTTTGTTTTATCGTACAAAATATTATACTTATAATCGTTCTATGGCCTAGGTATAGGTATGTTTTGTATTCGGTTCAGCGGTTGGTTCATCAATTCATGGAGAGAAGTTAAAATTTTGTGTATGATGCTGATCAACGGATTCAATATAAATCGCTCAAGAAAACGTTGATAGAGCGGAACTAAACCAAAGATATTTTAGGTATAGTTTACGAATGAGGTATGTATTTTGGTAGTATTTACGCTGTCGGTGTACCGTTTTTCGTAAAATGTGACAACTTGGACAATTAAATTGATATTATTAAAGAATATTATGTTCTATGACAATATTACATTAATTCGTTTTGACTCCACTGTGTTTAAGACAATCGACTTTTATTTATTTCATATAATTATTCATAATTTAGTTGAAACACAAATAATAACAACTGAAAACCGTTTAAAAGATGTTTATTATTTTTGTATTGTTAACAGAGTCCTTAAAAACTTCATCGATAAGCCATTAATTATGCATAAGCCAATGATTATTGATTATTTTAAAATGTGTAGTTTTAAGTAAAAAAGACAAAATTAGTAAAACTTAAAAAAAATTAAATAATAATTATTTTTAAGTATACATGTAAGGTCTTATATTGTAATATTGACTAGTAACATAAGTTTCCAGGCAGAATTAGTTATACTATTACATAACACTTACTAACATAATAAGTAACTTAAAAATAAAACATATTGACAAAGAGATGGTTATTGACACCAAATTTGGCTTAATAACTATAAAAATTAAAAAGTTAAAGTTATTTTAAGTTAAAAATTACCCCAAATTGTCTTGATCGATGGTACTTAATAAATAATTATAGAATAGTAAATAGTATAGTAATAACACAACATGTTGCAGATTTTTGGTCCACGATCGTAAAGCAGTAACCTTTGTTTCAATGTACCAATACACTATTATGAAAATATCTTCTATTTTGATTTAATAAATTGTATTATATTACTGTGTCTATTGTTTTGTCCTTGATAGACCTTTAAGCAGTTTAAACATATTCAAATGCTAATAAAATCGTTTGTTAATAAATCGTTATTTTAAATGTGTGTATCCTGTTTCGTTAAAAATTAATTTCGAGACACTCATAAAAAATATTTGTGAAACAAATACAATTAAATACAATACGATTTTACTTGAACTTTTTTTTTTAATTACAGTGATAGAAACTTATCAAGAGCCTTGTAACATATTTAAAAATGTTAAGTATGTATATATCGGTAAATAATTTCATAACTATTATAAATAACTATATACTATTCGTTGTTATTCATTTTTATTTAAACGATTTAATTTTAAATTTAAATACAGACACTATGGTTCAATATAATTTAATAATAAAGGATACTAAGTAATAGTGACTTAAGATATATTAATCTGTTTTAAATTATGTTTGATAGTTTATTTAAATTCAGTGTTCATAGTCTGTTTTTATATGATTATAATCAACTACATATTTTGTATAAGTACTTATTACAATATAAAAATTCGGGTATCATATTTTATTAGCTATATTTGCAACTGCCTAAATTATGAATATGAGTTAATTTTTGCTTATTTTTTAAATTTGATTATATATATCAACTATTACTGTACTTGGGATCCAAGTTAAAAATCAGTGACTCTGTGTATAGATTATGTACATAACTAATTTATGAAACTAATAATTGAAAAATATATATTAAAGTTCGATAATGGATAAACTATTTATACGTTTATGTACCGGAAAGTAAAATTTTTGTGAGATTTATTGCGAAGAAATTTGTGAATAAATAATCTTTAATATATTTACATAAGGTAAATATTTTCCACTCCAGCGAATACAATTTAATAAATAATAATTTAAATGATTTATGGATTTATATTTATTATAAAGGTTCATTCAGGTATATATTTTAATCGAGATTTGAAAATGTTTTAAATAGATTTTTTTATGGTTTTTAAAAGTGAACATTTTTTTGTCTTTGCTTCAACTTGTATTTTCACATTATGACGATATAACTATTTTGCAGTTTCAATGGTACTCGATAAATATAAATTATAAATACCAGTTGGTGGGTGTGAACACTATAAAATTAATTTTTGTATGTATTTTTGTGGAAGCTATTATAACCGACCGTTAGTTCTTTTATGCATTGAAATAAAATACATTGCATTAAATATATTTTACTATGTATAAAATCTTGTATTAAAAATTTTATTATTATATCCATATAATATTAGCTGGTTTATATAAATAATTATAAACTATATAGCTAAAAAAAAAAAAACTTATAAGCAAATTCTGAAGTAAAGAAAAATAATTGCCAATTTCTTGGAAATTACTAAACGCGTTTTAACTGTTTCGTTGAACCGATTAGGTACTCAACAGCAATTTTCTCATACAAATATACAATATTAGTTATAACTTAAAATATAATATACTATATATATAATGCATATATTATTATTATATTATGTGGCTATAATACATACACACCTATCCTTCTACCCATTCCATTTATAAGCAATGAGATATACGATTGATATAATACGTATGATGTACATATGTTATGACAATATAATAATATGCTTCAACTCGAGCTTAAAGAAAATTCTAATACATTATAATTAGCAATATGTATCATTATTTATTAATATGTATACAGGATTATTCATTGTGCGTGCTCACCCCCGTTTTTATACTTCAATAATGTATTTATTCAAATTATGATTTTTAAAAATTTGAAGTATGGATATCTACTAAAATACCAGATTTTCAATTAATTAAAAGTGTTATGCTATTTGAAAAATATAGCGATATAGACTTTTGATTTTTAAACGAGAATCTTTTTTTTTTTTAATTATTTATTTGTATTTTATTTTTTTATTTTTTTAAATGTTGATGAATCTAAATAAAAATTTGAACGAGTAGTTTCCGAGTTATTAATTATTAAATACTATATACTAAGAATTATAAAATAATCCATGATAATAGTTTTAATGATATGAGGGCTAAATAATGATATAATAATTTTAGTTATTATTTACTTAATACTTATATATTAAAATGTCATAACTTATAAAAATTATTAAATATATAGTAAATAGTAACTACTAGATAAAATATTACGTATGTTTAATATTTTTGTAAATCATTTTTAAGGATCATTGTCTCCAGTACATCAATAAAAATTTTAATGATTCATAAACTACTTGTTTAAATTCAAAAAAAAATATATTAACTTAACAGTGTATAGAAAAAAATGCAAGTTTTAATTTGAAAAACAGAATTTTTATCGCTACAGGATATTCCTGATGGCTGATATATCAGTATATGATATACAAAAAAATCTAAGTATTTAAAAATATGGCCTTTAAGTATATGTAATTATTTCAAAAATCAGAATTTTGATAAATTGATTCTGAGTGAAAAAAAAGAGGAGTGAATATAATTGATGAAAATTGTTTTGTATGAATTTGGCATTTAATATAATATGTATATATTATCTGTAACTTGAATATTATGCTGTATAGGTATGTCATTAGGCATAAATTATATTATTATATATTTTGATTATTTTTACTGTTGGCGACGACACGTCCGAAATATGCAAATGACGTTCACGCACCTACTATTTTAATTATAATTTATATCTTATAGGAAGTATATACACGTAGTATGTGTGCTCTGTAAAAAGTGTATACGGAGAAGAAATAATATAAAGAAGAAAAACGAAGATCTATTAACCGGACGTATACGTCGGAGAAAAAAAATTAAACGACAACGAATGCAGTCGCAGTGCCGCCGCAAAGTGATTAGTTTTAATATATGCGTAATCGGTTTCTGGGTAAAAAA